TTGTGGGAAGATGTTGGAGCTGATAGTTGTTACCAGAACTATTAATCAGTCTATTATTCCTGGTCTATTATTAGTCTGTCTCTAATTCAAACCCTGCATTGCGTTTACTAACAATCCTGCAGAGTCCCAAGACAAATATGACAGCAGAGACGTGGAGAGACTCTTCAAAGATGACGCTCTGGTTGAAGGCTACCTCACATGGAGACACTTTGTTGTGGAAGACACCTTAAAGATGATCGACGAGAGCTTACAGTGGAGGAAAGAGTTCACCCTGAATGGTATGTGGCCTTGATGCTTGTGCTTGTTCCCAGAAGAGACTGAAATGAGGAAGTTACTCGCATGCATGTCGAGCTGCTGTATCATAAATCTCGTGAAAACATGTCTAGGTCACATTTGCCAAAAAGAAAATGAAACTTATTTTAGGACTATTATAGGATTTTTTTGTTTCCTCATTCATGCATCTGGACACATTTTTAAAGTTTTATTTTTTAAATAATTTTTAAAATTAAAAAAATAAAATCATCTTTTTTCTCAACTATGTTACTAATTAATGTAGTAAATTTTTTAACATATTACAGTAAAAAATTATGTAACTTTTTACATTTTATTTTTAAAATAACAAAAAAATAAAAAATCAAGATTATTCTGAACTGTAATTTTTATGACTGTTGAACAATTTTTACCATATTACAGTAAAATGGTAACATTAAATTTTTTTTTAAATAAACAAAATCACCATTATTTTCAACTGTAATTGTCATTACTTGAGTGCATTTTTTACCATATTACAATAAAAATTGTAACATTTACATTTTATTTTAAAATAAAAAATCACTATTATTCTCAACTGTGATTTTATCACTGTAGTACAATTTTTTTTTACCATATTACAGTAAAATTATTGTAATTTTACATTTTATTTTTAAAATAATTTTTTATTTAAAAAAAAAAACACTATTATTCTCAATTGTGATTTTCATTACCGTAGTACAATTTTTGCCATATTACAGTAAAAATCGTAACTTTTTGAAAAAAAAAAAAATTGTAATAATTTTTAAAATAAAGAAAAATCACCATATACTGTGACTCATTACTATGATACATTTTTACTGTATTACAGTAAAACTTGTCATTTTAATTAAATACAATTAAAATTAAAATGTAGTAAAAATTTTACTGCATTGCAGTAAAAAAAATTGTATGTATTAAATGTATTCAAATCAGCATAAAATGTATTTTTGAATTATGACCCTTGACAAATTCACCTTTTTAAATGATTAGAAGATGCAGTTAACGATTAAAGTTGTTAAGTACCGAAGCTGTAATTATTTGGTCCTGTAGTACTG